ACTCCTGCCGTACCTCCCTAACCTGTTCTTGTGGTAACGCTGAGCACTCATTTAATAGGCATTCAAGTTCCCCACTTAGGAGAACCAGGGCATTTTTGTAAAGCAGTATCTGCCACACATCAAAATGAATTCCTGATGGATAACAGCATTAACTGTAAAATACACAACTATAAAAACTAAAAGAAAATAAAGCTAAAAGTTGTCTCATTTGGGAGTGGCGAAGAAGTTTCAGTCATAAAAGCAGCAAAAAGGAAAACACAGGTAGGTCTGTCTATATAAAAAGGAAATTCTATGCATAAAAATACCATAGACATAATTCATAGGAAATGATACCCTGGGACAAATTTTGCAACGTGTGAGTGACAGAAAGGGAAGTTAATATACTTGGCATAAAATAAGCTCTTATAAATAAATTAAGAAAGATGAGTAGCTTTAAGTACAAATAAATGTTACAATGAGATTTCATGAGTGGACTATAATCATGACAAATCTCTTGACAAAGAGATTCAAAAAATAATAACTAGTATTGGTGAAGCACTGTGAAATAGGTGCAGATCAGGATAATTTTTCTGGAGGATGATTTTTCAATATTTATTAATAGCCTTAAGAATATTAACATGCTGAAGATTCAGTAATTCCATTTCTAGGAATTTAGGGAGATAAGAAAGATGTATAAAGATTCACTTTTTTTTTTTTTTGGTGAGGAAGATTCGCCCTGAGCTAACATCTGTTGCCAGTGTTCCTCTTTTTGCTTGAGGAAGACTAGCCCTGAGCTAACATCCATGCCAGTCTTCCTCTATTTTGCATCTGGGTTGCCATCTCAGCATGGCCGATGAGTGATGTATGTCCTTGCTAGGGATTCGAACCCTTGAACCCTCAAACCCAGGTTGCTGAAGCGGAGTGCGTGAACTCAACCACTACGCCACGGGGCCGGCCCCAAGATTCACATTTAAGGAAGTTCATCTCATGTTTTGCTTTTAATATTGGAAAATTGGAAACAATTTGGATATCCAGCAATAGGGCAGGTTTACATCAACTTGAAAATATAAATTCTCAAATTTTAAGAATATTTAATAATCAACATATTCATGAGCATTTTCTCAGGTTAAGCACAATATTCAGTATACAAATCAATTTTCACGGTATGATTTTGATTTTGTAAAAGTATGTGTCAGGATGAAACCTTGAAGTATTCACTGGCCTTATCTTTCTTCCGCAATTTCTTACACTGCTGCTCTTTCCTCACCACTTGGGCATCAGTGGGGTCTTTCTATATTCACTGCCCCCAGGGTGGGGTTATTATCGTAGAAAAGCAGAGAGAATGATTCAAGTCAATGCTTAGCTTACCCAACTCAAAATAGACCTTTGTGGAAGAGGAGAGTGTCCAGACAGAGAAGACCCTGGTGCCTCCTGGATGGGGTGAGGGAAGGACACAGAATTCATGGTGAGCAAGAAGAACTCGGATATCTCAGCTGGTGCCATCGGAGGGAGGATGGTGGCCAAGAATAAGAGAGGACCACGTACGTTTCAGCAGATGCCCACCATGAACCAGTTACCACCCTCTTTAATGCTATGATACTGTTCGAGCCCCCTAAAAGTCAGATACCGTCTCCAGAGGAAGCATGGGGAGGGAGAAATTCTGAATGATTTCTGAGTTTGTACAGACTGACTTTTCTCATCCCATAAGCTGGAATGAAGGTTTGAAATAGGTTTAAGCAGTTTTAGAGGAAAAAGTTACATATTTTTAACATGTCTTGGAACATGGACTTAGAAATTCATACCTATATATATATATACATATATATACACTTACATGTGTAGCTATCTACATTCATATCAATATGTATATGCAAATCCTTAGAAAAAACACTAAAAGGGAAACTAAAATATCAGCAATTAATATCTTTGTTGTGGGGTTACGGGCTATGGATGATTTTTATTTTCTTGTCTTTAATTTTTTGTATTTTTCAGAAATTCCACAGTAAGCAGGTATGAAATTTATAATGTAAATATTATTATTATTATTTAAATACAGCATCAATCGCTAATGACAGCCTAGGAAAAATACTTATAACTCATAATACAGACAAAGCTTTTATTTTTTATTTCATAAAGGATCCCTATCAATCAAAGGACCAACAATGCACTAGAAAAATGGACAATAGATATGAAATGATAATTCACAGAAGAGGGAAGATAAATAGAAGATAAAGGAAGATAAAATTTAAGCTAAATATTTCTTCATTTCCTGCACAATAACAGAAATGCAAATTAAAGCTCTTCCGAGATCCCGTCTTTCTCCTATCAGATTGGCGAGGTCGCAGACTTCGATCACGTTGTGTTGGTGAAGTATAAAGAGACAGGTCCTCTCACACATTGCTGACGGGAGTGTAGATGGGTGAAGGGTGATTTGGCAACATCCGTCAAAATTACAGATGCCAAAGCTCACTGATTCAGCAGTTTCTCTTGACCCGGAGTTTCTAGGAGGGATATACAGATATGTGCAAAAGGATGTAAGGAAACAGCTATATAATAGCAAAATATTTTCAAAATTAAAGTTTCAAATAGAGTAAAATAGAAATAAAAATTAAAGTTTCAAATATTAGAAACAAATATCTTTCAGTAGAGAATTGGTTAAATAAATTATCGATATAGAGTGCTATGAAGAACTTCTTTATCTACCGAAATGGAACCATCTCTAGGGGACGTTGTTAAGAGGAAAAAAACAGTTAAGAACAGTGTGTGCATTATGCTACCATTAGTGTAATGAACAAAACCATATCGGTATCTGTACATCTATACATCTGTCTATCACTTTACTTTCTTGTTTATAAATAACATAATAGCTAACGTTTATCACACAATATGTGGCCAATCACTATTCTAAGTGCTTCACACAAATATATAATAACTCATTTAATCTTGACAACCGCCCTATGACGTTGACACTACTATTATCGTCTTTTCCGTTTTCTAGGTGAGGAAATTCAGGCACTGAGGGGACGGTGTGGGAGAGACAAGAGAGCTGCCTGGCGGGACACAGGAGGAGGGGGAGACTTTCCAGTGCATGCCCTTTTGCATCTTTCCCCCGTGAATGCATCACCTATTATTAGAAAAGAATGAAGAGGCGTGCTCGTAGTCAACATCACTGTATTGTACTTACCCTGAGGTGTCCATCTGTGGACATGGGGTGGTGGAAGGAACTCTGCACCAGGAGACAGCACATCTGGGTTATGGGTCCAATCTATCATTAATGTGTCCTCTGGGGGCCTCGGTATCATCTTCTGTAGAAAAAAAGTGCTTGGGGGTGACCGTCGTGGCGGTGTTAAATTACGTCAGTGTTTCCTAACCTAGTTGATAACTGGAGTCGTCTGGGGAACTTTAAAATATGCTAGCTTCTCAAGCTCCCACGAGCACATATTCTGATTTAACAGGACTGGGGTGTAGGTTGGGAACTGGTATTTTTCAAAAGCCCCCACCCTAGGCAATTCTGATGTAAAATCTGGTTTAGAAACCCTGGACCGCATGACCTTTTGGGATTCCTGCCAGTCCTAAAATTCCATACCCCGTGAGGTCCTGAGCATTGTATCAGATGCAAGTAACATGTCCTACCCGCCTCCGTTTCCCTCCCCCTCATCCTCAGTCCTTCTAACTCATCTTATTGCTGCCTTACCTCCAGGCCCATCTACAAAGGTGAGGGAAATACGAAGGAGGGGCAGTGTCCTTTGACCCAGATCTCCAGCCCACTGCCACCTTCCATCCCCACCTCCCACTCCACCCCCCTTTCTCTGGGTGCTGCCTTCCAAGGGCCGAACCTGTAGGCTCCAGAGCTGCCATGATCATTCCAAGAGGATGACAAGGTACCAAGGGCTCAAGTGGAGATGGATTTTGACCCATGTCAGAATTTACATTGCATTACATTATGTTACATTACAGAATCCTCTACAGATTCCAGTCTTCTTTCAGAGGCATTTTATTCCCTGGCATGATACTCTGGGTATTTTGTACATTAATCCCTCATACTGCCAGATGGTCTATAAAGTTGGAGCTCTTAAAAAAGTGCACAACATTCCCATTTTAATGCCATGTTTTGGGTATTCAATGATCTTCTTCCTTCCTTCTCTTTTCTTCCTCCTTTCCTTCTTCTCTTCCTTCCTTCCTCCTTCCCTTCCTTCCTCCCTTCCTTCCTTCCTCCCACCCTCCTTCCCTTCCTTCCTTCCTCCCTTTTCTCCTCCTCCTCCTCCTCCATCTCCACCTCCTCCTTCTTCTGCTGAGAAGAGCCCTGGGGCCGGGCTGTTGCAGGCCCTGACCACCGCTCTTCCAGCCCTTTTAGAGAGAAGTGTGAGTGTTCAGTTCACCTTGCAGCCCAGGCAGAACGTGGCTCCCAGCCTTTTGCAGTTTTATGATGAGTCTCTCTCCGTCCTACAGAGCAGTTATTACTCCTGACTGATGCTCACTGCCTAAGCCCAAACAAACGTGCGGCACACTCCACATTCCACACACAGACACAAATATTTGCTCTGCTCACATGGGCTGGGATAAGGATGCCCTTCGTACCTGGGAGGAGCCACATGATCAAGCCTCCGACAGCAGCCTCTGCCTGTGGCAGAGGGCACAGGGCATCCATCTATGCCATTCTGGTTTTCCAGGTCTAGCATCCATGACAAAGGGGTCTGCTGCCAACTTGCCACCAGAGACATGGAAGAAGAGCACCCATTCCAGGGCCAGAGTCTGGGGCCGGCTTCCCCTTCCTCTCTCCAACCTGGGCTAATGACGGCTGGCTCGGGTTTGGCCATGATGACAGGTCTTTTGGAAGACATATTTTTACCCTCTGGACAAACAGCAGTTGGGACGAGTGGGGCTTTTTTATGAGTTGAGGTGGTTAGGGCTGGAAAATAAACAGGCGGCTAATGAGATGTTCCTATGAAACCTGGCATAAATATCAACAAAGAAAACATCCTGCCCCTCGTGCCAACACCTTCTGGGAGGGGATATAAATGCTGCTGTCGGCTGGCCACCACCAGACTTGGGGACCTCTGGCCGCGTTCCTGACCTGCAGCCTGACTGGCCGGGACCATGGGGTGCTGCCCAGGCGAGTGCTTCGGCTGCTGCCCTCAAGAACAAGACTGCTGTGAAGTGTGCTGCTGCCAGCCCGCCTGCTGTGGCTGCTGCGGGTCCTGCTGCGGGTCCTGTTGCGGCTGCGGCGGCTCGGGCTGCGGGAACGGCTGCTGTGGATCTTCCTGCTGCGGCTCGGGCTCCGGCTGCGGCTCAGGCTGCGGGGGCTGCTGCGGGAGCTGCTGCGGCTCCGGTTGCTGCGGCTCCTCTGGGTGCTGCGGCCCTGTTTGCTGCCAGCCCACACCTGTCTGCGACACGAAATGAAGTCCTTTCCCCCCACCACTGAGGCAGTCCGGGTGAAAGCCTCCGTCTGCTCCAGGTGGAGACCACTTGTCTCCAGCACCTTCCTCGCCCCCAAGACAGTGTCCAGCCTTGGGTGTTATTTGTAGAGGAGGCCTTGTTCTCCAGTGTCTGCCCTGGTGTGTCGAGGCACTGAGAACAAGAACCATGCTGGTGAGGAATTAGAACTGAGTCTCAGCCAAAGTGATCCCAGCAGCTCAAAGGGTGAATCCCCGTGACTTTATTTTCATGAAGCTGGATGTCTGGTCACTATAAGGCATCCTCTTATTCAAGATGTCTTTGGGACTGAGCCCTCCCCTCCAGCTGTCTGCTGCTTTTGAGATGCAAAATTCCTCTTTATTCACTTCCTAATAAATTCGAGCATGCTGCCTAACCAAATTAGTTCTCCGGCCTCTTCCTTCAGCTCCCTCTTGGGCACTGGGCCAGGAACACTTACTCTGGCATCTACAATAGGGCTTTGGAAATGTGATTTGTGGATCACGTGCATCAGAATCACCTGGGGGCTGGTTAAAGTGGAGATTCTGGAGCCCTCCCTGAGACACGCAGAATCGGAATCCACACAGGTGTGGCCTGGCAACCTGTGCCTTCAAGAAGCTCAGGTAATTCTTATGCACTGAAGTTTGAAGATCATAGATGTGGACCAAATCTTCCACGTGCTGCCATGAGATTCACCTGGAGAGGCTTTTAAAAATCCAGATCCCTGGGCTTGGCTGCTGGAGATTTTACCCATTAGCTCTGGAGTGGGGCCCTGGGACCTGCATTTTTGAAAGCTCTCGGGTTAATGCTGATGCTGGCCGAGTCTAACCTTTAGCGAGGGGCGTGGCTTCCTTCTGCATTCTCCTAGGACGGTCCTGCAGGAGGGCTTCAGGTTGGAGGAGAACTTTCTGGCAAAGCCCAGGGGAAGAGGCTTTGATAAAACAAGCTTGGTTCTGAATGGAAGGGATTCCTGTTTCAAAACTTGGAGAACACACAGCTTCTAAGAAGGTTCTGGGAAATTCGGTTCCTTCCTCCAGCCTCATGCTTCGGCGAAGTCTCCTGTTTCTGGGTTAGGTTTTCTTGTCCTGGTAGAAATACCAGCTGTATTTCTTCTGGTTGAGTTCCAGCAATGAGAGAAGCGAGTGTACATCTGTTAGGTGGGGCCTGGCCCCAGGTGTGTGTGGATCCCTCTGGAAGGTTAAGATTCAAAAGATAGTTGATTCAGTCTCTTGCTGAACCTGATCTTGAGCTGCATGTGGAATAAAACTAATTCTGCTCTTGCCCTGGCAGAACAATATTTATTTTTATTCCTACAAGGCAATGTTTCATTCAACAAACAAAAATATCTTTTCTGATTATAAGCATAGACTGATCCCTAAAAATATGAAAAAATACAGAAAAATATAAAGAAGAAATAATAATTACCTGAATTCTCTCCACTCAGAGTTTATACTATTTTTCCATACTCTTTTCTAAGTATACATACAAATAAAACTGGAATTATGTTGCTTTTACTTTTTTGCCTTTTAAGAATTGTGTTTCACTTTTTATAAGCCAACTTTATTGAGATATAATTTACATATGGTAAAGTGTTCTCATTTTCAGTACACGGTTTGATGAGATTTGACAATCGAATATACTTAAGTAACCATCACTGTGCTCAAGATATGGAACTCCCCATCATGCTCCAAATTCCCCAGGACCCCTTTGCAGGCAATCTTTCCCACCCTGGACCCCAGCCTGAGGCAACCATCGATCTGCTTTATGTCACTACAAATTTCTCCAATTCTAGAATTTCATAGAAACGAAATCATACAATGTGAAATCTTTTTCACTTAGAATAACTTTTAAAAAATTCGTCACGTTGTTGCAGCTATCAATAGTTCATTCCTTTTTATTGAATGGTATCACACTGTATAAAGAAACTACATTAAAAAATACTCATCTACTATGGGCATTTGGGTTGTCTCCAGTTTTTTGCAATAATGAATAAAGCTGCAATGAACATCCATGTACAAATTTTTGTGTAGACACATGTTTTCATTTATTTTGGATGAATACCAAGGAATTAGATTGCTGGGTGAATGGTAAATGAATGTTTAGCTTTATAAGAAACTACCAAACCGTGTTGCAAAGTGGCGGTACCATTTTGTGTTCCCACCAGCAACGTCTGGGAGTTCCAGTTGCTCTATGTCTTTGCTCACACTTGATACTGTCAGTCTTTTTATTTTCAGCCATTCCAGCAAGTGTGTAATGGAAGCTCATTGTGTTTTCATTTTTTTTTCGTTTCATTAAAAAAACCCGGCAGTACTAGTAATGTCTTGTTTGTGGAGAGAATTTGAGATTTGAGTCTGCCCTGGTTGAGTTCCAGATTCTACTATTCAGGTCACTTTTGCTCTAGCTGGAATTAGCATCCGAAGAACTGGCTCTTTAATCTCCAAGACAAAGCTACAACCAGACAGGAATGTGTTGATTGGACAGAGTTGGCAAAAGACCAATGGATCTGCATTGAGTGATTGTGATTCAAGGCAGCTGATTCTTCCCTTGCACATGGCAGTGAGTAGAGAGTAGTAATTTCTTTGAATTACTGACAGAGATTGCCCCTCTTAGCTGTCCATAGAGCTCCTCATCCATTCATTCAATAAATATTTATTGTAACTCTCCTATTATCAAACACTGCTCTGGGTGCTGGATATACCTCAGTGAATAAACAAAATCCTTGCCCTCCTGGTGCTCAGGTAATGTCAAGGGGAACAAGAGCTACAAAAAAGAATAAAGTGGGAAAGGGCTAGATAGTTACAAGAGTGTCTTATTTTGTTTAGCAGGGAAGGATTCTTTGGGGAGATGACATTCCACCGTAACAGATGATGCTATGTAAGTTTGTCAGCTGAGAGAGCTTCTGAGGGATTTGTTGGAAAGGAGGGACGTCTTCATCTGGAACTTCATTGCTGAGGAAGAGAAGGTAGATGGAGAGGAGAGGAGTTGGAAGGGTGGGGATTAGGGTCTTGGAGTCTCCTCCTTTGCCTTTCCTTCTGCAAAGCCGTCCAAAAGTCCTCTTTCCCCACTGCCTTAAAGTCGCATCCTAAAAGATGGCCACACCCTGTTCCTAATCTTTCACTTTCAACCACTAAGTCCTATAGAATCTGTCTCATATGGTTCTAGTCCCAAGATACCGCCCACTTCAGGTTGTCACCATGAAGCTTTTGGGTAATTGCCCCAGACCCATAATGATCTCCCCACCTCCAGACTTGCCCTCCTTCTCCAATCCCTTCTTCACAGCCAGAAAGACCTTTCCAAAGGTCAAACCTGATCAAGTTACTCCCCTGCTTAAAACTCCCAGGTGTCAGTATAAAATCCAACTTCTGATCATGGTCCACAAGGCCTTTCATGATTGAGAGGCTAGTAACCCCTCTAGTCCCATCACTGACCCTCCCTGACTCCTTGCACTTTTCATTCTGGCTATGGAATCATTTGTTGCTCTCCAAACGTATCACACTCTTGTGTCTTTGGTTTCCACAGCTGATTCTTTCTCTGCGCTCACTACTCTTTTTCATCCTCCTTCCTTGAGAATTCAACTTAGCCATCTTATTACTTGAGAAGCCTTCCCTAACTTCCCCAAAACCATGTTGGTGTTTCTCCTGGGTGCCCCCATAGCATCCCATGCATCCATCTGTTGTAGCACTTGTACGTATATTGTACTATACTTGCTTATGGGTGTATCTGTCTCTCTTCTAAACTCTGGCTCCTTGTGGCAGGAATTGCAACTTGTTCTATTTGTAGCTCTCACACAGAACTCAAAGATGACTGAGTTGAGTGGGTGAATGAAAGAGAAATTGAGTAAATGGTGCATAAATTAATGAATGAAAAGACACATGAATGGATAGCACAATGGTTTAGCTTTTCCAAGGGGGGGCCTGCCCTTTGGATTGAGGTTGAAAGCCATGATGAGGAGAGGTAGTTCCTTCACTGAGTAAGGAACTGTCAGATCTTGGTGTTTAGAGACCTAGGGTTTGTTTCTCATCTCATGTCTGTCCCAAGCAGTAGCATTGATGCAATCCTTCGAGAAAGCATTTGTGTTCTTTGCTTTTGTTCAAATGTCTTTGCAAAAGACCTCTTGTCTCTCCTCTTTGGGTCTCAAAGGTGTCTTTCTTTCAGGAGCTGTTAAAATCAAAAGGCAAGAAGGACTCCAGAATGCTTGAGGTGGGGGCGGACGGAAGGAAAGGAGGCAGGAGAAGCACAGAGAGGCTAGGTCAAGTGCTTTCAAGGGACAGGTAAACCAGAGGTCTGGGGCAGGGCTGCTCACAGAACAGGATGAAGGACAACATTGTTGACTGAGCTTGTGACACGTGGCTTTGACAAAGTCTCCTGAGAAAGGTCTGTCCAGTCAGGATGGTGAGTAGGAAGGAGAGCAGCCCTAGATGAGAGGTGTGGGATCTTTAGCAAGTAACCGAAACTGTCTGATTCCAATCTCCCTTCCTTTTCTTCACCTGTAATAAGGGGAGATGAATCCCTGTCCCATGGGATTGATGATGGTTTCAAATAAGATTTTTTTACATTTTTTTTTACATCATTACTGCAAAGTACAGTCATTTAAAATCCAGCCCAGATATCCCCTCTCCCACAGAGCTCATTGCTGCTCTTCTCTCCAATCCTTATATGTCAATTGTTGAGTTTATCATTGCACCGCAGTGAGTTTGCCTGCGTGCTGGTCTGCCCACCAGAGAGTGAGATCCAGGAGAATGGATGACTAGATCTTATTCATGTGGGCATTCCCTGTGTCCAGCCCAGGGCCTGGTACAGAGGACTAGAAGACAGATAAATGATAAGTTTCTTTCTTCTTCCCCTGTTCACCATGCTCAGAAACATAGATCCTTCAGCTTGGAGGTGATGATGCTTATTCCAAGATGACCTGTAGCTCTGAGGATTCCAAATTTAGTAAGTCAATAAACAAACAGGCTTCTTTATGGGTAGGCCAACAACTTCCAGATCAACAAACATTGCCATAATAAGATGTTCCTCTGAAAACCGGCCCAAACAGCAATGAGGAAAAGACGCATGGGCTCAAAACAGCACATGCCAGTGACGGGGTATAAAAGTGAGGGCCTCGGAGAGCTGTCTCAGTCAGGCTGTAACCTCTCAGCACTCACAAGGGAGCAGAGGCACCTCCACCATGTCTGGAAAGAGCTGTTCTAGGAAATGCCCCTCTGTGCCAGCCATCTCTCTCTGCTCCACTGGGTTGAGCTGTGGAGGGCCTGTCTGCTTGCCCAGTTCCTGCCGGAGCCAGACGTGGCAGCTGGTGACTTGTCAAGATAGCTGCGGATCATCTAGCTGTGGCTCTCAAGGCTGTCTCGTGAGCAGCTGTGCCCAACCTGTGTGCCTTGAGGCCACCATCTGTGAGCCCTCCTGTCCTGTGAGCAGCTGTGCCCAACCTGTGTGCTACGAGGCCACCATCTGTGAGCCCTCCTGTCCTGTGAGCAGCTGTGCCCAACCTGTGTGCTACGAGGCCACCATCTGTGAGCCCTCCTGTCCTGTGAGCAGCTGTGCCCAACCTGTGTGCTACGAGGCCACCATCTGTGAGCCCTCCTGTCCTGTGAGCAGCTGTGCCCAACCTGTGTGCTACGAGGCCACCATCTGTGAGCCCTCCTGTCCTGTGAGCAGCTGTGCCCAATCTGTGTGCTGCGAGGCCACCATCTGTGAGCCTTCCTGTCCTGTGAGCAGCTGTGCCCAACCTGTGTGCTATGAGACCAACATCTGTGAGCCCTCCTGCCCTGTGAGCAGCTGTGCCCAACCTGTGTGCTGTGAGGCCACCATCTGTGAGCCCTCCTGCTCCGTGAGCAGCTGTGCTCAACCTGTGTGCTGCGAGGCCACCATCTGTGAGCCCTCCTGCTCCGTGAGCAGCTGTGCTCAACCTGTGTCCTGCGAGGCCACCGTCTGTGAACCCTCCTGCTCCGTGAGCAGCTGTGCCCAACCTGTGTCCTGCGAGGCCACCATCTGTGAACCCTCCTGTTCCGTGAGCAGTTGCTGTCAACCTGTGTGTTGTGAGGCCCCTTCCTGCCAACCGGTCCTCTGTGTACCCACTCCCTGCCAGCCCATCGTGTGCAAACCCAGCCGCTGTGAGCCCACTTGCTGTCAGCCGGTGTGCCCCACCCCTAGCTGCTGTCCCTCTGTCTGCTCTGTGGCCAATAGGTGCCAGGCTGTCTGCTGTGACCCCAGTCCTTGTGAACCATCTTGCTCGGAGGCCAGCATCTGCCAGCCGGCTACCTGTGTGGCTCTGGTCTGTAAGCCTGTCTGCCTCCGCCCTGTATGCTGTGTTCCAAGCCCTTGTGAGCCACCTTGTGTCTCCAGCACTTGCCAAGAGCCCTCTTGTTGCGTCTCCAGCATCTGCCAACCCATCTGCTCTGAGCCCAGCCCCTGCTCATCAAGTCTCTGTGTGCCCAGTCCATGTCAACCTACCTGCTACGTAGTCAAGCGCTGTCAATCCATCTGCTGTGAGCCCGTTTCCTGCCCATCTACTTCCTGCCAACCTCTCTGCTGTCGCCCAGGGTCTTCTGCATCTGCCGTCTGCCAACCAACTTGCCCTCGGACTTTCTACATACCCAGCTCCAGCAAACAGCCATGCACTACTTCAGTTTCCTACCGTCCAATTTGCCGCCCAATCTGCTCTGGACCCATCACCTATAGGCATCCATATGTGACATCTATTTCCTACCGCCCTGCCTGCTACCGCCCATGTTACTCCATCCTGCGCCGCCCGGCCTGTGTCACTTCTGTCTCTTACCGCCCAGTCTGCTCCCGCCTGCCTTGTGCTGACTCCTGTAAACGGGATTGCAAAAACTCCACTTCCAGCCAACCGGATTGTGCTGACTCAACATCCTGCAAAGGAGAGGTCTCAGAGGAGAGTCCCTACCAGCCCACCGAGGCCAAACCCACCAGCCCAACCACCCGTGAGGCTGCAGCCAGCCAGCCTGCTGCCACCAGGCCTGCCAACTGAGGAACTGGTCTCAGCTCACCAATTTTTGCAAAGCAAGTCACCTGCCAGAGAGAAAACTTGATTACCTTCCCCAATTCTATGACTTAGGTAGAATCTTTTTATTTCTGCACCGTCACTCGCCATTTGCTTACGCTTCAAAGAACTCATCAGAAATGGCAGTACCCTAATGGTCCAAACGAAGACCTCCTGGGCACTGAGGGGGGGACGCTCTGGTTCCCGTCTGCTGCTGCCATCAAGCTGAGAAGAGCTACTTCACCACATCATCCTACATGTCTGTCCTGCTATAAATTTGTTTCTGTCCTCATGCGTGTCCTCTTGCTGGATGGGCTCCCGTTTCTTGGGCATGTCCTCTTCAATGTAATAAAGATATTTAACTGTCCAATAAACCTGGCTAAGTTGAAATGATGCACTGTTCTCATGTTAATGCTGTATTTTCATCAGCTCACTTGCTTCATCTTTGAGAGCAGATTCATTCATTCATTTATTCATTCATTCATCCAACAAGCATTATGAGACAGCTGTTAGGTGCCAGGGATTGTGTTAGCTCTAGGAACGAGAAGACAAAAGTCTCAGTCCCCACTCTCAGGGAGTTCACTCTCCGTTGGGGAGATGGGAAGAGAGACAATTGTTACATTCCATTATGCGAAGGACTGGAATAGAGCACAGGGCACTGCGATCTCAACAGGGCATGGGGGCAGCCAGGGAAGGATTCTTGGGGAATGTGATACTGAAGCTGAGTCTTTCAGCACAAGTAGGAGTTAGCCAGTTAGAAACCAGGAAGGAAGAGCTTTCCAGGCAGAGAAAACACATACAAATGGATGGGGCTTGTGAGCGTACTATTCATTAGGCAAGGCTTGGGCAGAGGTGTACTTAGAGGAGTGGTGAGCTCTGAGGTCAGATAAGTAGATAGTGCCTTCCCCTTGTTGGACCATGTACAAAAGGCAGAGGTGTTTGGGTTTGGTGCAGGTTTGACATGAAGGCATTGAGAAGCCATATGCAGGGCAGTGATATGAACAGCCCTGGGTTTAGGATGTCCCTCTGGCCTTGGTGTGGAGAACTGAATGGAGGAGCATGGTCTTGGATGTAAGGAGACTGTGGAGGAAGCCAATGGCTTTGGGGTCCATGGTATGGTAAAAACAAGTTGGGGGGTCATACTTACAATGAGGAAGCTCACCTGGATTTCTTGCGCAAACGCTTTGCTTATGTTCTCCTAGTTCCTGTAAGACATACTCCTTGTGTAAACTCCATACATAGCCTCCTACAATCTCTAAGGACAGAGTCTCTGCAAAGTAGTAACCCTTTACACTTAGTGCACAGAATGAAGGGTTATCCCTTGTCCTCAAGGTGCAGCTTGGGCTATCCTAAGCACGGGAGGGTGTAAACCAGGCCTTCTCAACATTGGCATGGTTGACATTTTGGGCTGGATAATTCTTTGCTGTGGGAGCTACCCTGTGCATTGTAGGATGCTAAGCAGCATCCCTGGCTTCTACCAACTAGATGCTAGTAGCAACCCCTGAGTGTGGAGATGATCGATGATCAAAAATGTATCCAGACATTGGCAAACATCCTTGGGGTGAGGTGTGGCCAAAAATTACTCCTGTTTCAGAACCACTGGGTTAGACAATGCCGGAGGGAAAGTCTAAGTGAAACTTACCCTGCTCATTGGCGTTGGAGTTACTGTCTCATCAGGCCATTGGGATTTATCTCTATCTCCTTCTCAGGTCAAGAGAGGGGTTGGCCAGGGTTTTGAATCTCTGTGTGAAGCACAGACTCAGTGATTCATGTAAATCACAACAATTCTGTGATGTAAGATTTCTTTCTCCTATTTTATACATGAAGAATATGAAGGACAAACAATCCAAGTGACCATCAACAGAGACAATAATATTCTAGTGTATTCACACAATAGACTATTATGCTGCAGTGAAAATGACTGGGCAATGACGGCATGCAGCAACATGGGTGAATCTTAGCAATGTAATGTTGATTGATGTAAACAAGCCTCAGAGACCACATATATTTTTGAAATTCAAAAATACACACACATACACATATGTATGAGAATACATACATGTGTGCATATACACATGTATACATATATACATTATGTACCATATACATGTGTATATAATATATATGTTCACAAGGGAATGATAAACACAAAATTCAGGATAGGTACACAGCTAGTAAGTTACACACAAATGACTAAGACCCCCTTCTGTACAAAGCCTGTGTTTTTTGTGTATCACCATATTTCTTGGTGTGATCACAACAGTCTTTGCTAATACGCTAGATGTCTTTAGTGCCTTGAACCATAGCAAAATGAAAGTTCTCTCTATTGAGGGGTTTCTTTTCTTTTCAGCTCTATTGAAGTGTAAGTGACAATTTGATATATATAGCATGCGGTACTTATATATATATATCTCATATTCCTCTCATCTAGTTCATTAACACATCCATCACCTCACACATTTATCTTTTTTTGTGTGTGTGAGAACCTTTAAGTTCTACTCTCTTAGCAAGTTTCAATTGTACAATACAGCATTATCAACTATAGTCACCAGGTGATACATTAGATCCTCAGATCTTATTCATCTTATAGCTGAAATTTGTACCTTTTTACCAACCTATTGAGAAGTTTTTTGAAGAGTAGGGGAGGCAAGAGCAGAATCAGAGAAAAGTGGATGTAAAAATGGATTGCTTTGAAACAACAGAAGTGGTATGCATGGGTATAGGATATTGGCACCTTTTTCAGATTGAGTTGACATGTTTTCTCAAATATATTCATGTTCTCATTTTGACTGACCTGTTGAGTAAGAACAAAAATATTTCCTCTTGGGAGATAAGAGTTTTGGGATGTAGACATTCAGGAATAAAAGATAGGGCAAGGATCCCTGCAGTTTGCAAGATGCCAAAATGAATAGCAATGAAATGGAAGGCAAAAGAAGTGATCGATGCTGAGACATAAAAAGCAATGGTAGAGGGGGGCTGGACCCGTGGCCGAGTGGTTAAGTTCGCGCGCTCCGCTGCAGGCGGCCCAGTGTTTCGTTGGTTCGAGTCCTGGGCGCGGACATGGCACTGCTCATCAGACCACGCTGAGGCGGCGTCCCACATGCCACAACTAGAAGAACCCACAACGAAGAATACACAACTATGTACCGGGGGGCTTTGGGGAGAAAAAGGAAAAAATAAAATCTTTAAAAAAAAAAAAAAAAAGCAATGGTAGAGGAAAGGCATTTTAATGACAGGGTGGGAGTTTTCCAGGCATCATTCTGATCAGAAAAACTTCTCTTCCTTTTAAGATGAGGGTGAAGAAAGTGCCAAGAGGAGGAAGCGAGAAGACATTTTGTAGCTGGTATTTTGAAAAATGTCTTTCAGAATTCCCAGAATTTTCAATAATTGTGAGGCAGCCAATAAGAACAAAAGTAACCTGAGCAACAGCAATGCAATTGATGAACCCTGTGTACTTTGAACACCTGGGTAAGGAGCTAACACATCCCACAGAGTGAGTCAGTAGCAGAGGCAGAAATCAGGACCAGCCGTGTCTGGCTCCCATAGCCACGATCTTTCCATTCCATCAGGCCCCTCCGGTATGACTCAGGCCAGGACGTGGACTGGTGTGGGATGCTGAAGTCAGTTGGTGACACAGAGCAAGGACAAGCCCCGAGGAGGCGGGAAGAATCAGAAAGCCCCTCACAAATATCTCTTGGAAGAGGCTGATTTAACACAAAAACCACTTTGCAGCAATGTCCTTATACCACTTCTGGTTGTTGCATTTTTATATTTTCAGAGTTCACATGCAGTTGAATCCATTAGTATGAGCTTAATATTTCTCGATGAAACATTTTTCAGTTTTTAATTTCCAAATTAAAAGCTTTTGGGTGTATTGATAAGTAGGGGGAAGTACTCATATCAGCTTGATCTAGCTGCTGGTCGCGGTCACTGGAGTGGGCAGATGATCCCCAGCATGGGACTTGGGTCACCAAGCCAGCACGCTGGCTGTTGGACAAAGGTCAGCCTTCAATTGCTATATTAGAGTCTCTTTCCCCCTCCAAAGTCAGGACGTCTAAGGTAGCTAAGGACGTCTTAGGTAGCTAAGATGAGAGATTTTGGGGTCTGCCCAACCTAGGTTTGAATCTTCTTTCTACCCCTTATTACTTGCATAATTTAAACTCTCTGAGCTAGTTTTGCTACTTCTAACATAGTGTTGACAATTACACCTACCAGCTAGGGTCATTTCAAAGATTCAATGAAAAATGTAGTCAAGGATTTGATACATAACAAGTATGCTATAAAGGGAAGCGTTTGCTGTTGTTATTGTTAGTGGTACTAGTAAAGTTGAGTTTCAGGAAAGCCAAGTAAGAAGGTTCTAGAAAGAGATGGACACACTGAAGTGTGCTTGGGATGCAATGCTTGATTTTCTGTTTGCCATCTCTGACATCCTCCTCCCTCAGTTGCGTCAGAGCTTCATTTCCTGATTGTCTGAATGGTACACAACTGCATTCCTGGCGGAAGAGCGGGTTGCTTTGGCTGGGCTGCAGCCTCCTGATGAGAGGTTAGTGTGGGGGCAGGCCTGCTTCAAGGAGGCTGGAGAACAACCTGTAAAAGAGACAGCTCCTCCCAGAGCAGAAGCACCAAGGAATCCAAACTCAGCACAGAAAACTCCCAACCCAACAGACGAGTTTTTAAAGTGGGGACAGCATCTCCCAGGCTCCTGAAGCCTGCTAATCAGATGTTTGTATGCAAATGAATGGAAACAACAACAAGGAAAGATGCCCTACGCGGAGCCAACACCCCTAGCGAAGGATTATAAAAGCCCCTAAGCATTAGGTGTCCTTCTCACTCAGGTATCCTGAGTTTGCAACATCCCAGCAAGGTTAGCACCAGCAGCATGGCGGGCAGCTGTTGTTCTGGAAATGTCACGGCCATTCCAGCTGTGTCCACCATCTCCCTATGCTCAAATGATGGCAGCTTCCAAAATGGTATCTGTTTGCCTAGTTCCTGCAGGAGCAGAACGTGGCAACTGGTCACGTGCCAAAAAAGCTGTCAGCCATCCAGCAGTGCCCCAAGTGGCTGTGAACCTGCTTCTTGCCAACCTGCCTGCCTTCCAGCAGCTTCTTGTGTGGGTTTTGTTTGCCAACCCATTTGCTCCTGCCCGGCCTCCTGTGAATCCGGCACCGGTCAGTCTCCTTGTCTGCTTCCCTCAAGCCGGCCCTCCTGCTCGGAGTCCACCAGTTGTCAGCCAAAGTGCCGTGAGGCCAGCTCCTGCCAACAAAGATCCCACCAGGAACCTGGCTACATGTCTGGACTGTGCCAGGCAGCTGGTGGCCAATCAGTCTGCTGTGACGGTAAGTCCTACCAGCCATCCTGCTCTGCTGAGGTGACATCCTGTCCTGAAACATCTTGCCCACCAACCGTCTGTGCAGCTAGTTCATGCCAGCCAACTTGCTGCCAAGCAGGTTCGTGTCAACCCATTAGTGGTGAAGATCAGCCCTGCAAATCAACTTGTTACCAACCCATCTGCTACATTTTCAAGTCTTGCCAATCATTTCCCTGCCAGCAGTCGACTTGTGGGTTCTGTTCTTGCAATCCTACTTGCTGTGTGTCTTCCTCGTGGCAGCCACTGTACTGCGTACCAGCTCCCTCCATATCCTTCTTCTGCCAGCCACTGGCTACCTGCCAGGCCCCTTGTTCTGTAAAGAACCCTTGCAAACGAGCTTCCTGCAGCACCGTGCTTTCTGGCCAACCAACTTGTGGTGGGTCCCCCTCCTGCAACCCAAGTGGCTGCAGATCCCCTTCCTGCCAACCAGCTTGCTGTGTGACGGGTTTTGGCAAGTCCTCCAGTGGTGGCTCCAATTGCTTCCGACCAGCTCCCTCAAGTCTCTGCAAAGCCAGCCCCTGCTTGCCAACTTCCTGACAGCCCAGCCACGAGTCCAGCTTCGGTAAGGCAGCACTTCTTGGAGGGAGCACTCTGCACACCTCCTCTGAGTGCTGCTGCTGTCTACAAGCTCACGGCCACCCCGTGGTGCCTGCCTCTGGCCGAGCCTAGATGCTGCCTGCTTGCTAACTTTACTCTGACTCCAGCCCCACGTTCTCTCCAGGTGCTGACGAGGGAACTTGTCCAGCTGCTAAGAGACCCTCCTTAACCAAGGAGAGCCTTTCAGCAAGCATGGTCCACACCGTGGCTTGCATTTCCTGACATTTCAATTCTCTTCGCTTCAGCAAAGCCTTCTCCAGTTTTCGTTTCTTTTGATGCTGCCCAGTCTTTAAAAAGACTCCTTTGCTACCAACTGCTAATAAAAATGTGACTGGTTAGGCATGATGAATAAGACTCTGAGTGCTTTCGTTCCTTTCAATACACTCCTACATAGATTTCCTTCAGGTTACATTTGAACACAATGACATTGGGTCTTCTAAGTCAGTGGTCTGCACTGGTCTGCAAGGCTAACTCGGGTCTGGAATTATGGATGCTCAAGCTGGAAGGGAATAAGGACAAACAATTCCTTGGCTTCCAATCTTTACACCACCAAGAGCTCCTTTGAGTTGAGTGGCCTCAGTTTCCCCACAGGGAATAGACGGGAAAACAAAGACAGAAACGGTCCAGGGAAGCCACAGATTGAAATAAATATGAGGTTCCAGCTTTGGAGAATAGCTAAGGGTTAATTCACTTAAAGCTGGTTTTAATGATCAATTCGCCTAATGGCCAATTTAAATAAAATTAAGAACTCTTTAGAAATCCTTGGAAGTTGTTTGTTTGCTATGTTTTTGACATTTTGAGAGACAATTTTTAAAGCAATTAGTCTAAGGGAATTGTATTAATAGTGTGTAATTATTGAATCCCTGAAAGAAAACCATCCAACTTTTGGGGAAAGCTTAGAGGAAGATTTCCAATGCACACTTGGAGCAATGGCGCAGAGTCCTCCCTCAAGGGGCTCTGCCCCCTTCAATCGGGGGCTCTGGGTCTTGAAATGATTTAGATCCGAAATCCAAACACTTCTCACACAAGTCCTTGGGAGATACACATGAGGATGGTCACTGTGGTATTTTTGTGGTGACATAGATCTTAAAGGCAATCTGTTGTCCACCACTAGGAGAGTGGGTAGGCTATAAACAGTAATTCCTTCCATGGAGTATTGTATTAGCTTGTCTCTCTAGAGAAAAAGAACCAATGGGTGTGTGTGTGTGTGTGTGTGTGCGCGCGCGTGCACGCGCTCATGTGTATAGAGGGAGAGAGGAAGAGAAGGAAAAAGAGAGAGAGAGATTTATTACAATGAATTGGCTCACGTGATTACGGAGGCTGGGAAGTCCAGATCAGTGGTGTGGGCCAGTAGGCTGGAGACCCAGGAGAGTTGATGGTGAAGATGAGGTCCAACGGTGCCTGCTGGAGAATACACATTAAACAGAATAAAATAGCTGTGTATAGGAAGAGAATGGGGCACAAGGAGAGCAGGAACTAAATTAATTGATATATAAATACGCAAAGAAAGAAATAAATGAGAAGGACTTTGCATGGACCAAAAATAATAATGTGCCACATAAGAAATATGATTGGCTCAATTATTTGCAATAGAAGTCTAAAAAGAAAATTAAAACGAGGAAGAAAAAGAGAGAGGGACGTTGACATTGCAAAAGAATTACTACAAACAGAAAGTCTTCCAGAAGTGACATTTTGATGGATGCCATGTTTAAATTCTCTCTCTCACATTTTTCATGGAGAGTTCCGTCATGCTGGAGGGAAGATGAGGCTTTGGGAAGTGGGATGCATCTTATCTCACTCCTGAACAGAATTTTCAAAAATGTTCCTTACTTTATAAGTTCAAGGAGTTACATCTCCTTAAGTAATTTGCTTGTTAATATTAGAATTCTCAAAATAACAAGAATTCCAAATTTCATTTTGCAATAGTTTTTTGACCCATCTAAGTCTATCTCATTCTCTTTATGGTCCCAATTATGGTTTTCTCTGTTGTACTGGCAAATGTTTTTTCACTGGCCATCTGCCAACATGAAACTGCACGTTTTAGCTACGTCGGGGGTAAAAGCTGTGCCAGGAAGCTTGTACCTCTTCCTGTGCTTGGCAGCAGCTTAAATGAGAGCATTTACGAGCTCCTCTTAGGTTTGCTAGAACTTGTCCGGAAAACATCTGAACCTTGTCTTATGAACCATGTTCTGCCGAGCCTGAACATGCTTATCACTAAATCTTTATTTACACTTATGTCCAGGGTAGGGGAGCAAATTTAACAATTCAGGGAAGTTTTGAGAAAAATATTACAAGCCCTGACCACCAGAATTGATATTTTCTTACATCTGCTTTGGAGATTTAGAAAATATAATTGAAATAAAACATTATTGATAAAGTTGAAATCTCTGGGTACTCTTCTCCAGTCTCATTTACCTTCTTCTTTTCTCAGATACAACCTTGTACACCCTTCTAGTCATTGTTTGTTTATATAAAAATATAAACAATGTATAATATTTCTGAAGTGTTTGAACAACATATAGTATTAGGGTTTAGAAATTTAAGAATTTACATACAGATTGTAAAATTACGTAATATACTTTTTTCCTCCATTATCACTTTTAAGAATAGAATTTTTATTAAGAATAAAGATTTATATTGATAACATAATTATTTATTCACTATTAATTACAATTTATAATTAATAATATGATAATTTATTAACTATTAGGAGTAAAAGATTTTTAATTGCACTTTGATATATGGATCTGTTTCATTATATTAGTAATCTATTGTTGCTTAACAAATGTCGCCAAAACTTAGTGGCTGAAAACAACCATCAATTATTATCTCACTGTTTCTGCAGGTTGGAAATCCAGGTGTGGCTGAGTTGGGTCCCTCTAGCTCAGGGTCTCTTAGGAGGCAGGTGCTGAGTGTTGGCTGGGGCTGCGATCATTTCCTGGCTTGGCCAGGTAAGGATTTACTTCTGAGCTCACTCCTGTGCTGTTGACACGCCACAGGTTCTCCCCAGCTGTTGGCTAGAGAGATCATCTCCTCGCCGCATGGACTTCTCCATACACTGACTAATTGTCCTCATGGCGTAGCAGCTGGATTCTCCCAGAGCAAGTGGCCAGAGAGAGAATGAGCAGCAGATATGGAAGTCACAGTCCCTTTACATTCTAATCTTGGAAGTGACATCCCACCCCATTCATTGTACTCTATTCGTTAGAAGCAAGTCAGTAAATCCAGCCCACACACAAGGGGAGACTACACAAAGGCGTGAACACCAGGAGGTAGGATAATGGGAAGGCATCTTAGAGGCTGCCTACTCATCTGCCTATTGGCCCCCACAGTAATTCACATGCTAAATGCACTCCCTCCCCACTAAAGTCCCCCCAAATCTCGTCTCACAACAGCATAGGCTCAAAGTCCAGAATCTCACCAGTGAAATCAGGTCCAAGTGTGGATGAATCTCCTCAGGTGTGATTCTTCTAGATCTGTGGACCTGTGAAGCTAGACGCAAGTTATCTGGCTCTCGTACACCCAACATACAATGATGGGACAAGCATTGGATAACTTCTGTAGACATTCCTTTTCTAGAAGGGGAAAATGAGAGGAAGAAAGAAGTCTTTGGTTCAATTCTGAAATCTTGTTGGGCAAATGTTGGAAGTTCCTTGACGAGGTTTCAGTGTCTGGGAATACTTCTCCATGGCTGTTGGCTCAGCCCTTTAGACTCTTGGTTCTGACCTCTGAATCATCCATCCTTTTTCATGAAAAATAGGATGAGTTTGTGGCTGAGCAGCAATCTTAGCCTATTTTCTGCCTGTACACTTCTGGGGGTCCAAAGACTTCTCATTCTGCACTGTCTCTGCACCCCTCTGTTCATGGTGGATATGTTTTTGCATAAATAATTCTTATAAGAGAGTTGTGGTTCTCTTGCAAATCACCTTGGGGTTTACTTCATTAGACAAACGTCACTCCCACAAATCACTTTGAGATAAACCCTTCTCGACCTCAAGTCCCTGCTGCGATAGGTGAGGACAACGCCCTTGAGGTTCTGGGAGCTCCATTGTTTTATGTGAGAGATCTGTGAAGCGCTCCTTTAACATCTTTAGAGGGGCTTTTGTATCCAATTGTTTCTAATTTTTTTCATTTCTGGAATGAAAATTCTTATTTCCTAACCTTTGACTTTCTCAGATCTTAAAAGATTGTATAGTCACACCTGGGCTTCACCTTTGTCCCGTGCTCTCTGTCAGTGCCTTGGATTTCCTATATTCCTGGAAGTCATTTCTTAACTTTACCATCATTTGCCATCTAAAGAGGCTGAGAATTTTCAAAACAATCAAGTTCAGAATCCTTTCTGTTTATGAGTCTTCAGGTCAATTTATCTCTCTCCTCTCACATTTCATTATAAGCAGCAAGAGGAAACCAAGGAATACTTTCAATATTTTACTTGGAGATTTCCTTAGTTAGGTCACTCAGTTCAGCAGGCGCTTTTCTACTTTCCACAAAACTGCAGGTGACAGTGTCGTTGAACCTTCTGTCACTGCCTAACAAGGATTCTCCTTTCTCCAGTTTCCAGTATGCTCATGGAATCTCTGGATCAGGAATTCAGACATTACCCAGCAGTGATAGCTTGTCTGTAATCTATGATGTCTCGGACATCAGTTGGAAATAGTCAAATGACTAGGAGCTAGAATCATCTAGAGGCTTCTTCACTCACATGTAAGGTACCTGCGCCGGAATGACTTGAAGGCTGGGCTTAGCTGGGGCGGTCAACCAGAGTGCCTAGATGTGGCATTTCTGTGTGACTTGGGCTCGTCACAGCATGATGACTGGTTTTGGAGAGGGATCATCCCAAGAGGGAGGACACATCTAGGTCTGCAGCGAGGCTGGTAGAGAGCGGACCCACTGCATGTTTGGCCACAGCAGCTGGGCCCACATCAAGTGGGCTGGCAGCAGGTGGCCCCGGAACAGGTGGTCTCTTGCAGCAGGTGGGCTGGCAGCAATGATTGCAGCCCAAATGCGTCATGGTGTCAGGTGTGGAGAGTGGGCTTTTATGTGCAGCCAAGTTTCCCAAAATCTGAGGATGTATTCTTCCCTGGGGCTTGTAGTACTTTGGTTTTGCAAAAATGAGTATAATTGAGAAAGAAAGATCCTTTCGCTATTACTATATATGATGTTCTCTAAGACTCTGAAGGATGGTTTGTAGGAAGCTGTTGACTAAATGTGCTAAATATTATTAAAAGAAATAGACTGGTTGATCTCTCATTTGGATCATCAAATTGATTCCATCTTTGTGCTTATGAGGGTCAGAAAATTATCCTCGTAGTGAGTGTCTGGAATGGGATGAGAGAAAAGCTCAT